CTCCCGCCCCGACGCAGGACGATGGCAACTGCAGGCCAGGGGAGACTGTGGTGAGGAGAGCAGGGAAGAAGAGGAGCGAGAGGAGAAAGAGAGAAGCAGGAGAGCGGCAGGAGGGGGAGGGTTGTTAACACAGGAGTCAATCTGAAGGGCTCTCAGCTGCCCAAGGTAAAACAATTCAATACTGAATTGTTACCTCTGAACAAAATAAACACCCAGGAGTCCATACGATAAATAACTGAATAAACAGGGGGGCAGCTCTTCCTAAAAAGAGTTCTAAACAACCAGCGTATTGATTTTTGTTTCCGTTTTGAGACAGGGTCTCACTACATGGTTTAGGCTGGCCTCAGACTCAGTGATCCTCCTGCCTCAGCCTCTCGAGTGCTGGGATGACAGGTGTGTGCCAACAGGGTTGGCTTAGGTAACCACTGTAGGAAAGAAGAAAATAGGAAACCACCATTTGGAAGACGTTAGAGTAAGGTTGTAGACAAGATCCACTGACCAGTAAACCTAGGTGGATTTTAGGAGAAATAAGATGGATACTCAAAGTATCTTTCTTAATGTATAAGCAAGATGGACGGAAAAATTGACAGAAACCAACAAAATGATCAAGTGATCAAGACCAAAAAGTCAGGGTCGGGGATGTAGCTCAGCGGCACAGTGCCTGCCCGGCAAGCACAAGGTTGTGAACTCGATTTCCAGTACCCCCCACAAAAAAAAGACCAACAATATCAGTAATAAAAAAGACATAGCAACATTGTGAATCGCAAGATATGAGACTGAGGATACTTTACTTCTGTGATGCTCTCCCAAGAAGCATAACCTCAGTACAGTCACATGACAAGCCCAAATTCAGAGACGTGAAGAAAATAACCCATCCGCACTCTGTCAGTGACGAGGGCTGTTATACAAAGTGAAACTGTGCAGCTGATGAGACTGAAAATGTAAAAGTAACTGAATGCATTTTCTGGGTAGTGTTCTGGAACAGAACAAGGAAGGACATTAGTGGGGGAAAAAAGGTAAAATAGGGCCGGGCGTGGTCGCACACACCTTTAATTCCAGCACTCAGGAGGCTGAGGCAGGAAGAAAGCCATGAGTTTGGGGCCAGCCTGGGCTAAATAGTGGATTCAAGGCCGGCCTGAACTGCATAGTGAGGCCCTGTCTCAAAAATATTTAAAAAAAAAAAAAAAAGTAAAATAGGACTAAGATTCTTTAATTAACAGTATTTTATTAAGTGTCAGTTTCTTGATTATAATTGTACTATGATTATGTAAGATGGTAACATTAGAAGCTGGGTGGGCTGTATAAGGAAACTGCTCATGTTGCATGTAAGTGTATGATCAGTTCAAAATGAAAAGACATTTATTTCACTTATAAGTATGGTCTCTAGCTGCATCCACTTACCTATAAAAGCCTCTAGTTTATCTGTATAGCTGAGTAATACTCCATTGTATAAAATACCACATCTTTTTTATCCATTCCTCAGTTGACAGACATTTGGGTTGTTTCCACTATTTAGCTATTACAAATTGCGCTGCTATAAACATGGGTGCACACAGATCACTGTGATACGATGTTTTCAGTTCTGGAAAAATATCCAGGAGGGGAATGGCTGGGTTGAATAGGATCTCTAATCCTAGTTTACTGAGGAATCTCCAAACTGATTTCCACAGTGGTTGCACCAGTCTACAGTCCCACTATGTGTAAACATCATACTTCCTCCCTAGTATAAGAACCTGAAAGAGGGGCTGGGGATTTAGCTCAGCGGCAAAGCGCCTGCCTGGCAAGCGGAAGGTCATGAGTTCGGTTCCCAGTACCGGAGAAAAACCAAAAAAAAAAAACCTGAAAGAGTAAATAAAATCCGAAAGGTACAATAGATATTGTGAAAGGGAAAAGAAACTGCTCAAATAGCAACAACTGGGATGAAGGAGGGGAAAGGAAAAAGAAGAGAAAAAAATATGTATACGTATACACAGGATAATTGTACTACTCATCTGTTGGTTTACTGAAAGGAACTGTTAATGTGTAATTGTTTGATCTTGCATGCCTATATCTGGTTGTATGTGCAACCATTTTGAAGATGACATTATGTAATATAACAACCATTGTTAGGGGCTGGGGATTTAGCTCAGTGGCAGAGCGCCTGCCTGGCAAGCGCAAGGTCGTGAGTTTGATTCCTGGTGTGTGTGGGGGAACCATCGTTAATATCCTATCACATTTTAAAATTCTGTATCACTTTTATTGTTCTCTATGCTGTTTTATGTATTTTGCTTTTTTAATGAAAAACAAAATCTGTGTGTATATATAAGCATAGGTGGGGTAGGTGTATTGCTGATGTCTGTGGCTTATTGAAAGGAGCAATCAGTGCTTAAAATTTTCTCTTGATCAATGTTTTGCATGCTCAAATGATCAGAATGACTGATCTGAAAACAAGATGCAGTGTAAGAACCATTGTTGCACTCCTACCATCTTGTATGGTGAAGCTCTGCATCATTTCCAAGGTTTTTTATTACTTGTTACTGTCTTTGATTGTTTGATCAATTTTACATTATGTCTGCTGGACAGAGCAACTTTGTCGAAGATAACAGTATGTAATGTAGCAACCATTGTTAATTCCTATCGTTTTGTTTTGAGGTCATGTATTTTTGTTGTTTTTGTGTTTATGATTTTCTCTTCATTGTTGTTTTGTTAGTTTTTAAAATTTATTTTTGTTTTCTTAAAAAAAAAACAACAAAATGAAAAGATGTAAACAGCCAGCACCATGGTACACATCTGTAATCACAGCTGGTTAGGGAGGCTGAGGCAGGTCTGTATGTTCAAGGCCAACCTGGGCCACTTAGTGAGCCTGTCTCAAACTAAAAAATAAAAAGGGCTGGGCATGTCACTCAGTAGTAAAGTACTTGCCTACTATGTGCAAGGCATAGGTTCAATCCCCAATGAAAAAAATATTAAAAAGTTAAAATAAAAACTGAATATGAAGCTCAAGCTCTTGCACTTCTTCCACTTTCAACATTAACCAACCCTAATGTTGTATTTTTTTGAAGTGGGGGGGGGGGCTTCTGTTTTCTTGACATGGTCTTGCTATATAGCCCAGACTGGACTCCAACTCACGGTGATCCTCCTGCATCAGCCTCCTGAATGCTGGAAAGACAGGCATGCGCCACCATGCCTGGCCCTAATGCTGCATTTTTATTCTTGGTAAAAATTACTATTTGCAGTCAGGCCAACAAAATGTTCACGGAGGGCTCGGGATTTAGCTCAGCAGCACAGCGTCTGCCTGGCAAGCGCGGGGTTGTGAGTTCCATTCCCAGTACCAAAAAAAAAAAAAAAAAAAGTTCCTTGACAAAATGTTCACGGAATGGAAACCTGTGACTTCATGGCTCAGTTTGACACAGCTGTGGGTGAGAAATACTATACTTTTTGTATTTGCCAGAGACTCAACTTCCACTGTCCTGCATTTAGGCACAATGTACAGAAATGCTTTCCAAATGAATCTCTGCTTTGCCATTGATTCTGATTTTCTCACTTTTTTGTTTGTTTGTTTGCTACTGGGAATCGAACTCAGGACCTTGCACTTGCCAGGCAGGCACTTGTGCCCCTGAACTATATCCTTGGCCCTTTTTTTCACTTTTTTTTTTGGGGGGGGGGGTAATGATTCCAATTTTCTCAGAGAAACATGTGACTAAACAATCATCAAGTTTCTGCCCTCTGCACTTCTTCAGGCACACTTTTAACAGCTGTAACAGTAAAAATTGAAATTAGCATTTGTATAAATAGCCTTATCTACAAAAAGTAAGAACTGGTATTAAATAAAATAGCAAAATGTTTAAGGTGTGAGCACAAACTCCGAGTTGTATTTAATTGCAAGGGATGCATCCTGTGTATATTTTTTTTCTCTTCCAAATTCTTTCACTGCTAAAATTGCTTTTATGGAAACTACAAACATTTAAAATGTGTTTAATTAATAACCTATTAAAATTAGCTGAGAAGCAATACATTTCTATGGAGCCTTTTGAAATGATGCTTTGAACGTTTATTTACAATAATGGAAAGCAGTTGAAGCTGTAAAACTCACAGGTAATTACAGGCTTCTTAAATCCACAACACAATGTATTTCAACATTCAAGTAGAAGCCCATTTCAAAAGTAACTTTCTATCACTTTCTTATAAAAATATAAAAAAGACCTTTATCTTTAAGAACCTGTATTTAACCTAAAGCTTTTCCTACAAATGGTATCTCTTTCCAAAAGGTTAAAAGGCATCACAGAATGTGATGTTAATCCAATCTCACAACATTTTAAGAAACACTGCAGTATTTCCTTTTTAATATTTCACGTTGGATTTGAACTGTGTATGTATTATACAAAACTGCAGATTAATCCTAGTTCATTTATGCAGAGACTTGTCATGTATGACCAGTTACCATATAAAAGGCAATCTTTTTTTTTTTTCTTTTTGAGACAGCTATGCAGTTCAGGCTGGCCTTGAGCTCACCTTGTAGCCCAGGTTGGTCTCGAACTTGCAATGATCCTCTTGCCTCAGCCTCCCCAGTGCTGGGATTACAGGCGTGCGCCACCATGCCCGGCCAAAAGGCAATCTTTTGGAAGCTTTTAAAAATCTTATTAATAAAGACAACCAAAATTGTCCTTTCTGTAAAAAGTACCTTTCTTCCCTTTGAAGGGTACCTTTTATAGCATCTTAAGACACAAAGATATTTTAAACACTTTTCCTAAGTTAGCCTTGTACATGGCTGCTTTCTTTTCTGATTATGTTGAATTTTTAAAAAGGTATCAAGATTACACTCCTTAGCTTCAGATTTTTTTGTTTCTATTTAGGTTCTTCTAGAATGATTTTCCTCAGAAAAGGTTAACTAAGAACTAAGGAACTGTGAAAAAATGAATGATGAAAAATAACAACTTGCAACTTGTAACATTCAAAAATATAAATATATTAATATGTTCCTTGAACTCTTACTCAGGACAAATAGAATAACTTCCTGAACATTAACATAAAAATAGAGTACATTTATTAACAGTAGGAAAACTCCGAAGTTTTTAGTAACAATGTTCTAAGTTTACATAGTAACACAGCTGACCAGTTTAACATTCCTATACAATGTTAGAAACTCACTTACAGATATGCTGAGGAATTATCCTGAAAACCTGTCCAATACATACCATTAACATATAACAAAGCATGGCATTCACTTCACAGGGAGAAAAAATAAGTTTCATCACAGAAACAGATTTGCTGGATTTTAGTTTTAAATTCCAGAGATACCTTTTAAAGATTAAAAAAAAAGATTCACTTCCAAAATAAAAGTCTTCATATAGATATATAACTCATTATTAATGCTTTTTATGCTTTTACAATGTAAAACACTTAGAAACTTTTGAACTCTAGAAATTCTGAACAATTAATCCATTTGGCTTTAATATTGTCTAAATTCTCTTCTGAGAATCACGTTGGCATTTTCGGTTCATTGGTCCAATATGGATGGGAAACTCTATTTCTTCTTCCTCTTCCTCAGGGGCTCCTCCTCAGAGCTGCTCTCTGTGCTGCTGCTGCTGCTGCTGCTGCTGCTGACAGAGCTGGAGTCCCAGTCCGAGTCTGAGGAGGAGGAAGAGGTTGAGGAGGAGGCAGAGGACGACGAGCTGGACGAGCTCTCCTCGGAGTCGCTGTCCTCTGAGGAGGAGGAGGTAGAAATGTCTTCACTGTCCGATGAAGAGTCGCTGGCTGAACTGTCACTGCTGTCGCTACTGGAACTAGTTACACTCTTGGCCCTGTTAGACAGCGAAGGGTGTGTGCATGGGAAGCTGACATTTCATGGGATGCTTAAAAGCCACGTCAGAGGACATCATCTGTGTGTCTTCCCTGAGGCTCTGCTAGCATGGCATCTCTAGGTTAGACGCTTTGGGGGGCACCTAACTGTTGTGAGCCACACCCCGTCCCTGTACAAGGACTCACTGCCTCAGCAAGCATGGAGCTCATGATCCTTCTCAGCCTTGTGGCTAAGACCGAGTGCAGAATGGAGTAGTACATAAGTGTGTCTCCTGTATTACGCTTCAGAGCGGAAAAGATTACAATAAAGTTGCAGTATAGCGTAAGTGGTACTGGAGGTTGAACCCTGGGCTTTGCCCAAGCTCTACTACTACCACTGAGCTACATCCTTGGCCCTTTATCT